TTGTTACAAAACTAACAATATATTCATTTCTTCACAGAGGTGATGTTTTTTAACATTTATTAAATTATATAAATTGGAAAGTTTCAGTATGCTACGCCACTGCCTCGTAATCTACCACGTACCACTAGTATAATATTTTAAAATGATTATGTTACGAAAGTCTACTCGAGTGCATTTCATTGTATGAATTCTTGCATGTAAACATGCCAATATTATCTTTTAAACAAACATTTAATATATATTTTGTTGACACGGTGGAATAAATAAGCTCTTAGCACGCCTTACGTACTTAGATACACTCACAATAACTTTCAATTTACGCAGCGCAAACAAAGCAAACAATAGTTTAGAAAAATGACATTATAAGTGTTTAAAAACCGAAGTCTGTTTTCCTGAATAGGTTTGGGTTAGAAGTAATGATAAACGGATCTTGAATTTTAATGAAATTAAGCGGGTTTTTTTTCTTAATCAAAAATAGATAAGATATTTCTACTGCGTGACTAACGCAGTAAGGGTAATTTTTGCATATTTTGACATCTGTTGGTAATATACGTGGATTGTAAACACCGTTAGCTAAATTACCTTCTTTGTTCATTTCAAGATATTTTATTTTTATATACATTTTCAAAATTTTCATGAAAATTTGCATGAATCTGGAGGCATCCTTCTTTAACGCTTTGTTTGTAAGAGGAAACGATGTTATAGTCATGTGATAATATATCTTTTCAATGTGACTAGATACAAATAATATCTCACCGGGGATGAAACAAAGATATGTCGTATGCATTCCGATGCTATACTGAATTATATCAAAGAATTTTAACCGTTATATCACGCTGTTTTGCCATAAAAATCAGATACCCGTCCAGCACGTGCAAACGTGCTAATATACAGGCAAACCAGACATTATCATTGATTACAGATGTATGTAACGTCATTGTGACATCATCATGTTATCATTATGTAATTTGTGACTGTTTACATGTAAATAATGTAATGTTTACATGTTTTACACATAAACAATGTAAAAAGCTGCAAAATATGCAAAGGAATGACTTTTTTTTTAATTATCATTTCCGGTAGTCCCTCGGATAATATTTTAACTGTTAAAGATAAACATTGGGTTATATCGATTACTGGTATGTTTCATTGACAAAGCCCAAAGTATTTCATTAGGCAGCATAAACTTTTGAGCCGCGTCACGACAAAACCAACATATTGGGTTTGCGACCAGCATGGATCCAGACCAGCCTGCGCATCCGCGCAGTCTGATCAGGGTCCATGCTGTTCGCTTATGCCCCGGTCACATATTCACGGATAATACCACGGAAGAGCTACGGTCTAATCGTTCGCGGATTACTACGGAAATGTGAAATTTCGTAGTCCGCCTCGGTTCCAGTACGGACACACAACGGTATGAGTACGGAGTCCGACGGATTTACCACCAAAAGCCCCCGGAGAGACACGGATTGTTACGGACCGACACGGTTTGATACGGAGCGACACGAATCAGGACGGACGCACTACGGATACACTACGGTCTGCTACGGTATAAGCACGGGTTAGTACGAATAAGTACGGTCTGATACGGAGAAGAACGTATTGATACGGAGAAGAACGAATTGCCACGGATCTATACGGACCTAATACATCCGTCCACAACCTCTTGCTTGCTCATTTCTAAAATGCCTCAAAAGAAAAGAACACCTAGAAAACAAATTGCAGAGTTCAATGATTTTGGCGGAGAGGACTCGGCCTAATCGCGTCCGACCCCTGAGACACATCAGGTCCGATTAAAGTGAATTTCTTGAAGGACGCTGGATCCTCAACAAGTTCGACCATGAGAGCCTCATACTAAACTTGAAGCGGTCTTCGTAAAAGCCCATCTCTAGTCCACCATCTCGTCTGTCTTCTCTTACCTGATTAGATATGGACTAGTAATCATTAATGAAAAATGTTGATCAATACTGATTCTCTTTTAATTTTAAGATTTGCTGTTCATCTTACAATTACATTAATTACCGTGATGTTTATGTTTTAAAAATATGTAAAAAGCTTGTTAATTAATCTTATTATCACTCAAGGGCCAGCCTCCGAGGCTTATGAGACACTTCGTTTTATGTACATATTTACTCCAATTTCACGATCCAATGTTTGTAAAATATGTAACATTAATGTAATTCTATTACTTATGAATTGTATTACGATATTAATATAAATTTACTTCTATGTATGTCATCAAGCAGCTCGACCACTGCCTCCGCATTCTGAGCCATTTCAATATAAAGTTGCAGCCAGTAAATGGCAATTATCATTTATTAAATGTTTTCGCAAATATGTCTGTTTTTAACAAGAGGGTAGTATTTATACCCTTATGGTTTCATATTTCTGCCACCAGATAACCATATAACTAACTAGTTAATTAAGAGGTTAACTAGTTACGTAACTAGTTAATCTCTTAATTAACTAGTTAGTTATCAGGTTAACTAGTTACGTAACTAGTTAATCTCTTAATTAACTAGTAATTTATCAGGTTAACTAGTTACGTAACTAGTTAACCTCTTAATTAACTAGTTAGTTATCAGGTTAACTAGTTACGTAACTAGTTAATTTCTTAATTAACTAGTTATTTATCATGTTAACTAGTTACGTATCTAGTAAACATCTTCATTAACTAGTTAGATATCAGGTTAACTAGTTACGTAACTAGTTAACCTCTTAATTAACTAGTTAGTTTTCAGGTTAACTAGTTACGTAACTAGTTAACCTCTTATTTAACTAGTTAGTTATCAGGTTATCTGATGGCAGAAATATGCCACCATATACCCTTGAAAAAGTACATGATACTTAATTCATCCGTACTAAACAGTGGTGGACCGTACCATTCCGTACCGTTTCGTGTTGCAACGCAATAAACCGTATAAGACCGTGCTAATCCTTGCCTCTCCGTAGTACAACGTATTACGATCGTGGCTTTCTGTGAAAATGCCGTATTAATCCGTATTAAAACCGTAGCTTATACGTAGGGTAACCGTACAAATACGTAGTTCTCCGTACAAAACCGTGGAAATCCTTGACAAGTTGGTGGACTACGAATCAGTACGGACTAGTACGGTTTTTGTACGGACCAGTACGTATCAGTACGGATTAATACGGACTAGTAGGGATACGTTACGGTTGATTTTTCCGTAGCAAATTTTTGTGCATGTTCAAAAATTGTCAAGGATAACTACGGATATATAAGGACTACTACGATTGATTACGGTTACAATACGGAGAGCTACTGACCAGTACGGGTAGCTACGGACGATGCCGGAATTAATCCGTGGCTCTTCCGTGGGCGTATTCCGTGAATATGTGACCGGGGTATTACCAACTCTATTACACGTAGAGAAACTGGTAGCGAACATCATGGATCCTGATTAGACTGCGCGGATGCGCAGGCTGGTTTGGATCCATGCTGGTCGCAAACGCACTATGCTGGTTTTGTCATGGCGTGGCTCTTTTATTTTTTGTTACCATTTACCAATTCAATATTGATCGCAAACTTACATTCCTAAGCCCGCCTTTCGTTAACCCGAACTTAAACCTTAAAATCAATGAATATAAATGAGTTTAAATCCCAACTTAAACCTTTCAAAAATTGTCTTTAAAGTTTTTATCATTTACAAAAACCACGGCTGATAAAAATTTACCTTTTTTACACGTATGCAAATAGATACTAGTAAATTAATGAACGCGAGGCGAGTATCAACCTAGATTTTATCGTAATCAGCGCATTTACATCATCTATCATCGATAACAGTCAGAAAGGTGTTTTCGATCAATTATTGATTATTCATCGAATGCACGAGTACTACGTGTATTATAGTATAAATCCATGCAAATATTTTGTTAAAAAGGCTAATGCCACTTAGCTTTGCATTCATATGTGTATTTGCATTCTCAAAGTACCAGGGTAAATATAATTAATATAATTTATTATTTACCCGTCTCAAAATGGCTTGTCTTAAAATTTTATTGAGTAATTAAAGTTATTGAAAATATTTTCTCTTATAACAGTACTACCAAGGTCCGAAATGCATGTAAACACGGTATAGTAAGGTTAATATACAATCACTTGTGTGACGCGTTCTCTATCCGTTACCAGCTTGATATTTTAAATTAACGTGTCCATCATTTTATTTTGGACAAAACCACCATTTTTTTCAAAACATAAAGAAACTGGATAAAAGGACAGAGTAGCTCATGTTCAGACATCACCAGATGTGCTTACTGGTCTCTATTAGTCGCATAAATAGAAAGAGCCTGCTGCCGGCAGGCTAAGGTTTGAAACCCATAAGAGGCGTAAAATACACGTATTAGATCAATAAAAACTCTTATATATAAAGAATATTTAACACATAACATCACGCCAGCAACGTCATTGATATGAGCTGCGTCATGACAAAAACAACATAATGGGTTTGCGACCAGCATGGATCCAGCCTGCGCAGTCTGATCAGAATCCAAGCTGTTCGCTATCAGTTTCTCTACAAGTTATAGAGTTGGTAAGCGAACAGCATGGATCCTGCGCGGATGCGCAGGCTGGTCTGGATCCATGCTGGTAGCAAACGCATTATGTTGGTTTTGTCATGACGCGGCTCATATATTGAACCATACTTTGCATATTATACGGATATTTTTATATTAAGTACCGGTTCGATTTTGTGGATATAAATAACATGCAGTGAATATAGCAAAATATGTAATGGTAAATATCACTGAAGTTAGATATACACCTTAAGTATAAGTTAGTGTTTATTAGTAAACATTTACAAAATTTGATTCGTATAGAACGGCGCATTTCTTTATAAAACTGTCGATTTACTAGTCTAATTAAATTTAGTCAATTTACCCAAGTAAATGTATTATGATTCATTTGAAATACTGTAATTCTATTGGATAATAAAATAATTTCAAACCTTAATTACCCTTTAACATGAAAATTTTGTAATTACCTGGTGTCGTGCAAATCCAAGTGTATATCCCCATGAATGGTATGTGAACGCTCCATGATACTTTCCTGTATATTTATATATCATATATTGCAAGCGTTCAATAATTCAGATCAATAACTTTTATATTAACAGTCATCCATCACCGCGAATGTATTCAAATCTTCAGCAATATTTAATAGTTTCTAATAGTTAAGTAACGAAACATCTCCGCAGGGTTGTCAATAAAACTCGGTTTGGCACTTATAAAAAATTGGATGTTTAACTTTCATGCATTATTAAACAGATTCAACGAATTCCTCCTTTACAATGTCAATTTAAACGATTTAAGTGATTTTTTTGGCGTTTTAAGTGTATACCAGAGATAAATTGCAAATAGCGTTAAGGTATAAAGCAATATTTTTTTTTAACTGTTAGATTGCACTCTTAAAGTATTTCAATACTTGTTAAAATTGTAGAGTTGTTTATTGCAGTCTGTCATAAAAAGGACATTGAAAAACATATAGTTGTTTTCAAACATGTGAAACAAATAGATTTATTAAATGGGTTTTTAACCTACTATTGCGGACAGCCCCGGTCTTTGACTGTGCATTGTACTACTGAATTTCAACGAACTGTTAAATACCTATTTAGTTAACAGGCAATGAACAAAATACAAATGAAATGATTAATTGTTATATAATTTCCAATAAATAAGTTCACGTCTATGATAATAATATATTATATAATTCTGAACTTTGAATGGATAATTGATTTTTACGTGAAACCTATTATGTGATTTTACAGTTAACTTTTATTGACATTTATGTATATCTTTTTTTAACAAAATATCAAATTAATGCCAAAATAAAAGTAAACAAGAAATGTCTTTAAGCAGAGTTACCACTGTTGCAGTCTTACAATAGGATTAAGTGATAAGTGTGACACGGTCTTACATCCTAGAAAGTTGTCATAACAGTTCTATTGATTACTCATAGTTACAGAGTTACCTTTCTTTTATTCAATAAAAGTAGCATAAAAATAACGATACAGAGTTACCGTTCTTACATTCTGAACGTTGTCAGAACAATTGTAACAATAACTCATAGTTACAGAGTTACCTTTCTTATATTAAAAAAGTAGCAGTTAAATTCTGATGACAATATTGAAGAGTTACCGTTCTTACATTCTGTTCAATTATGAGAAGAATAAGAACGAGTACACAAAGTTGACAAGTCTTAAGTTCCTGTTTAGCTATTTATTATTTTAAAAACATGAGATTCGACAAAAATTCTATTTTTACATTTATCTTAACTTCATTCACGACATTTTGAATATAGTCTAAACCTTCAGTAATGCAATGAATATAATGAATGGTGCAATTCTTTGTTTTATCTAAAACTAAGTAAACAGAGTTGTTTAAAGTAATTGTGAAATATTACCTAAAAACAATTCTTTGCTTTATTTTAACGCATTGTTCCTCATTAGATTTGTATATTGAACTGAAGTAACTTGCGGATGACGAATACAAAAAAATAATGTACCATCAAAATAGGTTCGCATGAAAAAATCAATGTCTTTTTTAAAATTAAACCAGTTTATTTTACTTAATTGCTTCGGATATATACTAAAAGGACTTTGTAGTATACTTGAAGGATTTGAAATGCATTAAATGTTCACATAAGAATTTTAAAGAATATTTAAAGGGACTTAGTCTCGCATAAGTAATTTTATGTAAGCTTTAATAAGGGAC